CCCCCCCCCCCGGGACTTTCTGTCTTTCTTCCTTCCTCCCTACTGCTCAGGGGCAATTTTCTTGCAAAAATCAGACCTCAAAAAATATCAGCAGAAAAGTTTCAGAATATGCAAAAGCTGCCAGTTAAGAACATTTAAATGATAGATGCCAACAATATTTTTAATGTTTAAAACAGTTGCAAAAGGTTGCCTGGCACCTTAAAGGAGCAAAAGGCCCCAGTGAGGGAGGGGGCAGAAGAGCAGCCTTGCCCCCAGAAGTGCCCAGGGTGAGCACAGCTACTTGGGCAGAGGAAGCCCACCCCTCCCACCAGCCCCCTCCTCCCCAAGCTCTTTCTCTGGCGCAAGGCCACCTTCCCTGCCCCCAGCTGGGAGGGCTCAGAAGGCTCCCCCCACACTCAGCCTACCCCCCCTTATTCCTTGGGGCTCAGTCCCGCCTCGAGGCTCTGCGCCACTGACCAAGAAGCCGGATGACCGAGGAGGCCACTCTGGCCCTGGGCGTCAGCAGGATCCGCATGCGCCCCCCCTGGCAGCTCTGCAAAGCAGCCCCCCAGAAGCCTGCCTCCTGGCACAGGCCCACCTGCAGGGCCCAGGAGAGGAGGAGGATGAGGAGGAGGGCCGCAAGAGCCATCCTGAGTCAAAAGGGAGGGTGTCACTTCCTCCCCAGCTAGGCTTCCAGGTGCTGACAAGTGGCTAGTCCTCAGAGAGGTTTTTATAGCCCTGGGGGAGGGTGGAAGTCCCAAGCACCTGGGAGGGAGGGAGGGAGGGAGGGGGAGGGCTGTGCTGCAGATAAGGCTGCAGCCCCTTTGCAGGGATACTGGGAGGTCGGGAACGGCGGGGGGGGGCCGAGCTGGTGCCTCCCTTACGTCCCAGGAGGAGCCAGGGGGGCCCGGCCATCCCTCTCGCAGCCCCCCCCCCCGCGGTTCTTCTCTTGATTGCCCGACGTTGGCTTTATAGCTCGCTGAGTGGCGGGGCGGGATTCCTTTATTGACCGAAAAGTACTCTGTACTAGTCCGGGAGAAAAAAAGCTCCCTGCACGGACCTTCGTTGCATTTCATGCAGAAAAAGTGGCTCTCCCCTTCCTCCTCCCCCGCCCCCGCAGCCGAGCGCGCCTCTCCTTTGCCCAGGAAAGACACTCTGTGCGTGGCCAGGAGCAGCCTTTCTGCAAACGGTGTTTCGAGAGGGCACTTTTAAAAATCCCTTAGTTGTTCTCGGGGAAAACACTCTGTGCATGCTCAGAGGGAAGAGGCTTTGCACAGGGTCTCCCCACCCCGGGCGGAGGGGTCTCTCCCTGAGGTTACAATCGCCCCAGGGGAGCCAAGCCGGGGCAGGGGGATTTACTGCAGACCCCAGGGGGAAACTCTGCACATGCACAGAGGGAGCCCTGCGATCCAGATCCCGCCTCCAAACTGGGAAAAGGCACCGCAGACGCGCTCCTTCTTTCGGAATCCGCAGAGAGCCCTCGACGGCGACACCAGCAGCTCAGCCCTTTTGTGCGCTTCCTCGCTTCCCCCCCCCGGGACTCGCCGACATCAGCAC